ATACAGCTTTGTAGTAATTTAGCTCTGGTTCTTCAGAGACACCTGCTAACCACTCAACCGCTCCTTTCTCATTCTTTTTAATCTTTTTTTTTTTTTTTTTAAGATTTATTTATTTATTTATACAAGCACTGGGTACAGTCAGAAGCGCAGGAGGGTGAGAGAATTCACCAGAACCAGAGCGGGGAGCAGAGCAGGCAGAAGGACGGAAGTACACTGCTGAGGGGAGCAGCGGGCGGCAGGAGAGGTCTGCGCGCCATGTGGGACCCTCTTCTGGGGACCGGGGAGCAGCCGGGGATCGAACCAGAGCTGCAGAGGCTGCGGGCAGCTTCGCAACCCAGCGCTCAACCGCTGCGCCACCGGGGAGGCCCTCCTTTCTCATTCTTGAGGCTTCTTTTGGTGAATAATAGGGTTGAATTTACACCAATGACTTAGAAGATGAGTCACTGATTTTCTAGACCTCTCGAGTATCCTGCGATTGTGAATGATTTTCCTCTTTCACGCCTCAGATGCACAACCTCCTCTTCCTGCTCCCTTTTGTCAGTCTCCCACTTAAGAAGAACTCAGTTGTGCACATACAGTACTTGCTGGCCTTGACAACTATGACCTGGATACCTGTACCTTATAGAGCTGTGGGATTGCTTGCTTCTGTATGGTTCTTGGAAACTTCTAGGTGCAGGGCCCAAAAGTGGAGTTTGAGCATTTAAAGACATTCAAGACACAGTCCTTTAGTGCAGGCCACCATCATCTCCTGCCTGATTTACTGCAGCAGCCTACTAATAAATCAACATGCTATTTTGTTCCCTCACTTCCAACCCATTCTCCACACTTAACTACAGTGATCTTTCTATTTTTTTTTTAAAGATTTATTTACTTATGCATACAGGATCTGGGGTACAGGCCAGAGGTGTGGGGGATGAGAGAATTCACCAGAGACAGAGTGGGGAACAGAACAGGCAGACTGACTGAAATACACTGCTGAGGTGCGCAGCGGGTGAGACAGGCCAGGTCTGCTGTGCCATGTGGGTTTCTCCCTGGCCGGGGATCAAACTCAAGCTGCAGTGGCTGTGGGTAGCTTCATAGGTTGTGTCTTTACCCCCTGTGCCACCACGGAGGCCCTACAATGATCTTTCTAAATCTGATGTATCCCTCCTCTGCTTAATATCTCTCAGGGGCTCCCTATTGTCCTCAGGGGGAATTTAAACTCCTTAGCATGTCCCACAAGACCCTCAGGTAGGCCCTGACCCTACTTATATCTCCAATCTTATCTCCCTATTCCTCTATTTGCAGTCTGTGCTTCTGCAGCTCAAACTTCTTATGGTCCTAGTACAAGTCATGTTCTTTCTACTCTTCTCTCTGCTTGGACTACTCTTCCCTCATACTGACTTCTCTTTTGAATAACTATGACTCCTTCTCCAGATATCATTTTAGATCAGTAGTTCTTAATCATTATGAATCAATCTGATGAAAACCATAGATTCTCCCCTCCCAAAACCAAATATGTGCCCCCATGTGTTGATCAGTTTGCATGCAGATTCAGGTAACCATAATCCCTATATGAAAAACTTTTAAGCTGAGCCCCTTTTCTAGCAATTAATACACTTTGTAGTTATTAATTTGCTTATCTCTCTCCACTGGATTGAGCTCCATGAGGGCAGTACTTTGGCTTGTTCACCATTGTGCCTTAAAATAGTGCTTGGCACACGGGGACTGTTTGATACTTTTGTTGAATGAATGAATGAATGAACGAATGAACCAATATCTGCTCTTCAGTGGATCATATTCTATTAGAGGAATAGGACATGTCTGTTAACAGTTGACAAAAGATAAACAACTGACATTTTTCTGAAAGTTCAGAGTCTGAGGTGACTGGGCTGGTCGACTTGGAAAAGCCCAGTAGACAAGGACTCTTGGGTTGACCTTGAAGATAGAAGGACTTATAGGCTCATATTCTATTTTTTACAAATATTTTGTCAAAGTAGTAGAGGTGGATGAAAGAGGTAGAGTTATCTAACATTTGATGGTGTCTTCCCCTATAAGAATTACTGGAGTCCATGGAATTATGAGGTGTCAAGAGAAAGCCTCTCCTTGTCCCTTCTTTTCCTATTCCAACAGTATTTTTTAAGTGCTGGTATATGCCATGAACTTTGTTAGGTGTTGAGGGTATTTTGACAAATAACCTTGATGAAAAGGTATTAAGTACCAAGAGCAGAATTTGGACCAAAGCCTTGGTGGGAATACTTTTTAACCAGGTCATTAGCTATGGTAAGGTTTAAATTATAAAGGGATTTATTAGAATTGACAGGAGTTTCAGAGTTAGGCCAAGGTTCAAATTCCGACCCTGCCTCTTACTAGATATGTGCAAATACTTCTTGAAATTCCAATTCTGTAATTTTTGAAACAGAAATAATATCATCTATCTCCTGAGGCTGTTGCAAGGTTTAAATGAAATAATGTGTATGACCTCTGAGTAGAGGCCCTGCACACAGTAGCATTAGCACTTCTATCGTTTTCAGGGGCTATGTAAGCTGAAATCTTAGTTTGGTGCCATCATTTCAACTGGTTCATAAGAGATTACCAGATTGGATTCTACTATCTTGTGTGACTTGTATATGTTCCTATTTCCTGTAAGAAAATGTTCTTAGAAAATAAATGTCTATGGGCCCTAGTTTGTCTTTTGCATTTTTCTTTGCTTATTGAAGCTTTAAGTACTTAAGTAGAAAATTAGAAATATATGAGTCCTGTAAAGGAATAGGGAAAACATGTCCAAGAATCCCACCATCTAGGAACTGTATCCCCACATTTTCTGGATCACAGACCCATTGAGACTCTGATAAAGATAATCTGTCATTCTTCTCTTCCCCACCCCCAAATGACATTTTTCTTTTGCCCATACAGACAAATATTTTCATACAATTTCAGGACTTTCCATTTGTTTACTCCAGAGTTACAAAACTCTAACTTGACTCCCAAGCACAAATTCCACAAGAGAAATCAATCAGTCCAGGTCCTGCCTTCACCCTCACATAAGGGCTTCTGAATCTCTTGTTCATGCAGCAGGTTGCCGGGGTTTTTTTCCATCTTTTTTTTTTTTTTTAGGTTTAAGTTTGTAAACTAAAAATTGGCTGTCTTTATTATCTTCTGCAATGTAGTTCATTGGTAATCAACTCATACACAGCTGTTTAGAGAGATGGGTTTGACTTCTGATTTCCTTGGCATATATTTTTGTTTGTATGTCTTGGAGTAAACACAAGGGACAGACACTGTGAGAGTCTGTCTTAGGGGTAGAGGAAAGACCCACCATCTTTTCCTGTGTCCTCTTCACCTCTTCATACTGCCCAGGACTGTTTGTCTAAGGCCTCCCCACTGGCTTCTAGCAGCACTCAGAAGAGAACAGACTGGAGGATATGGCAGTGAAGGGAGCAGGTCTCTTTTCTTTTTCTCCTGGTTCCAGTCATTCACGTCTCGAGCCGTGTCAGGATAGGAACTGTACATTGGCGGAGGAATCGTGTGCAGCTTGGAGGTGGGCGTCTGCAGCCCACATGCTGTACTGTACTTTATTTTTTTGGCTTCAGTGCACAAATTCCACAGAGAGAAAACAACCGCCCAGGCTCTGTTTTCACACTCACAGAAGGGTTTCTGAATCCCTGTTTCTTGCAGTTGAGTTGTCCTTTATTTCAGTCCACAAAGATACATGGCTTGGCTCTTTCCTTCAGAAATCAGCAGCCCTTGCTAAATGAGCCTGACTTTAGATAAACTTGTGCACTGCAGGTGCAGGACAGGCTGAAGCAAGGGGCCTCAGGACTGTTAAAATGTGGTGCTGCTGCTACCCTGGTTCACAGACTTACATCCTCTCTTTCTTGGATTATTATCAGGACTTCCCAACTGTTCTTTCTGCTTCTGATCCAGCTTCTACCCTGCATCCAAAATTTCATTGAAAAATACCCATCTGTTGATGTCATTCCCTGTTTAAAACCTTTTTCTGGTGCTGTTCTTCGGATAAAGTCCAAATTCATTTTCTTGGCTTACAGGACTCTGCAAATCCTGGCCCCTGTCCACCTCTCCAGCTTCCTTCCTCTCACTGTCACCCCATGTGCCAGCCCTTTTAGCTTCTCACCATCCCCAATTGATTCTTTACATGTGTGATTCTTCCATCCAGCTCATCCTTTCACCTTTGCTGCCTGTGGAACACTTGCTTCTTTATCCTCAAATGTGACCTTCCATGAGGATTCCATACTTGTAATGCTATTCCGGATTCCCCAGGCAGGATTTGTGGTTCCTTCTGTGTTTCTGGGATTTAGTATAGAGTAGTGATTGCAAGTATGGACTCTAGAGTCAGATTAGAGTTTCTAGTCTGGTTTCTATCCCAAGCTCGCTCCTCTAGATGTGTGGACAAGGTGAATGATCTGCCCTCTTGTTCATCTTCATCTGTGGAATGGGGATAATATTAGTAAACCTCACAAGTTGTTGTGAGGATTAAGAGACAGCACTTTATATATAATGTTTCTTGGCCATAGCCTGCATTCAGTAAAAATACTCCTTTTTATTGTTGTTATCACAGTACTTTAGCCTCTTAACCCCTTGCGCCACCAGGGTACAGTACTTTGTATATATCTCTACTAAGCACTTGTCACCTCAGCTTATAAATAGTTGTATACATCTGTCCTATCAGATCATGTACTCTTTGAGGACAATTGCATGTCCCGTTTACTTTTTCTGTGTATAGACATTTACAGTAAATGTTGGTTGAATGAGGTATTGCACTAAGATATACCTTCACAATGGAAATGGGCAACAGGCAGAATAAGGAAGGCTTAAAATTGAATTTGTGCATCATCACAAACTCAGAATTGCTGTGACCTTAATGTCAGCCGGTTTACCTAGCTCTGGACTAAAATCTCTTCTGTTACCTCCTAGAGCGTGTTCAGTGTTTCTGTGTTGCCAAGACAGGGCAGCAGGCCATCACCAAGTTCATGTCCATCTGTTTTTGTTTTGAACTGTAGGTGACATGTCTGAGAGTAAAGCCAAGAAGATTGAAATCAAAGATGTCGATGGGCAGACACTCAGTAAGCTGATTGACTACATCTACACTGCCGAAATTGAGGTGACCGAGGAGAATGTCCAGGTAAACTCAGCCCCAGCTCAGTGTGTTCCATACTCAGGACCCACCATTTTATAGTATCCTTCCATTTACCCTGTGACAATGCCACAACTCAGTTGGTCACTGGAGAGGGAATGGGAGCCAAAGGTCAAAAGAAGTTAGGCAGTTTGCCTTGGATCACACAGCCAGTAGGTGTGTGAATTTGTGCTCCTGCACTTAACTGCTAAGCCATAATACCTCTGAATGAACTGGGGACCCCGGGCAGAAAAACTTTAATTTTGATTCACACTCTTGGCAAAGGAAGACCTAAAGGCCTGGGTGACTCCATTTTTCCCCAGCCACCATCTCATCTCAGGGTTTTTGAGTATTGGATTGAGAGGCTGTTAAAATTTTTTTCCTGTTTCAGCATTAGTCAACCAAATGCCTCAGAGCACAGGAAGGTGCCAAGCACCAGGGCTGAGTTCAGCAGGGATGTGAGCCTGTGAACCTTGCTGTTCGTGCTTTTTCCTCCTTTTGCTGCCCAGCCTGCGTCCTCAGCCATCTGGAGCCTTGAAAAGAGGAGCCAGCAAAGATACTGCTTCCTCCAAAGGCAGCCATCTTTCCTTGGGAGGGCAAGGCAGAGCAGCACACCTTAGGAGGGGAGAAAGTGTGGCCCATTCTGGAACCCTACAAATCGCTGGGCCAAACATAGACACAGGATACACTATTTCTTAAGAATAGTGATAGAAATTACCTGTGATATGAAGGTTTTTCTTTTCTTTAAAGCACAATTCCATCTTGTTTTATGAGGTAAATACCTCTCTTGTGACCAAATACCCACTTCCCTTATCCAGAGTACCAGCCCTTTTTTCAGGGTGGAGGTATCTGGGAGACTGAATTGCTAATTGCTTATTTCAGTTCAGCCCAAATGTTTGAGTGCCTGTTCTGGGCTGGACGTTGTTGGGCAGAGTGAGTGTGATAGTGAACAGCAGTGAGTCTGCTGCCAGCTCTGATAGTTTGTGGTGTAAGGGTGAAGACAGATGCTCACAAGTAATATCTATGTACGCATCGTGATAAGTGCATTGAAGGAAAGGGGTGTGGACTATCATGCTCCTTTATCAGTCCACAGTGAGGTGGACTATCATGGGGACTCAGTTTGGATGGAGAAAGAGATCTGAGATGGGTTCTTTCAGGAGATGAGTGGGAGTGAATTTGATGTGGTGAAAGGGACTCAGAAAAGGTGAAGTCCAGGCAAGCCAAGGGCCTGAGACATACTGCATTTGGGTCTGCAGAGCCTGCCCCTCCATAGAGCCTTCCTTTGTTTCTGGCTCCTGGACAGACTCTTGGGCTTGTAGAATATCTGTAGAGAGCTGATCTGATCCTCTCCCCATCCTTTTAAGATTGAGGTATATTTTATACACAATAAAATGCATAGACATTTTGTTTGGTTTCTGGTCTTTTTATACAAAATGGAGTGGGTTACATTCTGGGTCAAGCAGTGGAATTCAAACAACTAAATGACTTTTGGGCAGTAACAGTAAGTGCAAAGTAATTTAGTATAAAATGAGTACAGGACATATATTAAAAAAATGTTTAAATGGATTATGATTGTATCAAATCCCCACCATATTTAAATTCATCTAGATACTCTTAAGGATCATACAAATATTAACAAAAATACATCCTTTGAAAACCTAATGAAAAATGCTAGATGTCAACCTAAATGATGTGCAGCAGGTAAATAATTTTAAAAAATTGTGCATTAAAGTATATCAGTAAGTCATTAATCATATGATGTGGTAGGCAGAATAATGGCCCCATAAATGTTGGTGCCCTAATGCCTGAAATCTGTGACCATGTTAGGGTAAATGCCAAGAGGAATGAATGCTGCAGATGGAATTCATGTTGCTAATCAGCTGAACATGTGATAGGAGATTATCTTGGATTATTCAGGAGGGCCCAATGTAATCTCAAGGGCTCTTTGAGGTGAAAGAGGGAGGCAGAATACTAATCAGAAGGATGTGATGTGGCAAGGACTCAGCTTGATGTTCCTGGCTTTGAAGATAGGGGGCCATGAGCCAAGGATTGTGGGTGGGCTCTGGAAGCTGGAAAGGAAAGAAAACAGTTTTCCTTAGGGACTCCACAAGGAACACAGGCCTGCTGATACTGTGATTTTAGCCCACTGGAACCCATTTGGGACTTCTGACTTACAGAACTGTAAGAAAATCAATTTGCATTAAAAAAAAAATTATTTATTTATTTATTTATTTATACAAGAACCAGGGTATAGGCCATATGTGCAGGAGGGTGAGAGGATTCACCAGAGACAGAGCGGGGAACAGAACAGGCAGACTGATGAAATACACTGCTGAGGGGAGCAGCGGGCGCGACAGGAGAGGTCTGCCACAACAATGTGGGACCCTTGCCGACCGACCGGGATTGAACCCACACTGCAGAGGCTGGAGAAAGCTTCACAGTGTGGCGCTCAACTGCATGTGACATCAGGGGAGGCCTTGCGTTGTTTTAAGTCACTAAAAGAGAAAAAATCAAAACCTAAAAAGACAGTATAATGGAGGTTATAGAATTGTATGATTGGAACAGCACTTTTCCTCCCTTTTCATCATGTATTTCTGAATAACTTTCATTTCCCTGTAAAGTAGAAAGTGTTTACTAACTTGGATACTTAGATGATGTTCCATTCTGGAACCTTGTTGCCTGGACTAGGTATTTTATCTTTTCAGCTAACCCAAGCATCAGTTTAAGGCAGGTGGCAGCAGGTAGCATATTCAGAGGACTCTGGAGAAAATGGCTGTGTTATTAATTTTTAAAAACCACTTTGTTAGGGTAGAGCAGGAACCAGAGTAAAGATGTGCAGGTTCAGAGGACACATAGGAAGAGAGATGAGGCAGGAATTGAGTATAAGTGGAGACCAGGGTCCAAGTGTCAGTTTTCCCCTCACTCACAGAGTACTCGCAGTACAGCTTTCCCTCTGCAGTGCTGAGTACAGTGTGTGGGGCTCAGTTACCTCTGACCAGAGAAGACACTCAGCCCATATCTGACTTACTGTCCTTCCATCCCCCAAAGCTTCTCTGACACTTCCACTGCCATCCTGCCTGATGAGTTTTCTCATTTGTGAAATAGGAATCTTAATTGTATCCGTTCTATTGAATGGCCAGTCATGAGTTAGCCTGTCTGCATTTGAATCCTGGCTGCCCTATTTTCTACCTGTTTGACCCTAAGCAATTTATTTAACCTCTGTGCCTTAGTGTTTTCATCTGTAATGTGGGCATAATAATAGGGGCTTAATCTTAATGTGGGCTTAACTGCATAGGGTTGGATTAAATGAGTTGGATTAAATGAGTTAATACAGGTAAAACACAGAACCATGCTTCACACATGGTAAATAATGCATGTCGGCTATTACAACTGAAACTAGGAAGGTGGTGATGGAGTCCCCATGTGCAGAAGACTTTGCCTGTTTTCTCCCCCGCCTGGGTACTCAGGGGGGAGGAATAAAGTGAAAAATAGGAGCTGCGATAAGGGGTAGGGCCAGAGACCAACCCGATCTGACCTGGAAGTATTTGAAAATTCTTCCAAATGAGGGATAGTTTGGGATACCTCCTGCCTACGTTGTGCCCAGAATTCCTGCCAGGACAGAGGCCTGGGCCAGAATTCCTTCCAGCCATTGCTCTGAAGAGCAGGCCCTTTAAGGGATGTGTTAAGTAGCCAGGTGGAGGGTAGAAGGTGCAGGACTAAGAAGCTCAGTTCTTCCTCCTTCCACAAGGAAGACTGTGTGGTCTCATTTTCTCCCTCCTTTCCTCACTCCTTCCCTCTCTACTTTCCTCCCTACCTCAATTCCTTCTTTCTTCCTTCTCCCAGTTAATACATGTTTTCTGAGCTCCTGCACTATGCAGCAGAGTGTACGGGCGCAGAGAGCTCAGTGAACACAGATGCACTCTCACTAAGGAGTACCTGGTGTGATGGTGGAGCGGTGGATTGGTCAGAGGTGACCTTGGGGGGAAAAAATGGTTAAGAATCAAGAGTTATTTTATTTAATTCTCATAACCACCAATGGAATGTTCTAATAAGATACTTATTTTTTTACAATTGAATAAACTAAAGCTCAAAGGGCTTCCTTGGGTGGCAAGGGGTAGAAATGGGAGTTAAATTCATCTCTCCCTCTTGGTGTCCTCTGTGGATGTGAAGTACTCAAGTTTCTCATTAAATGAAGGATCAGAATCTTGACTTAGCTTATAATAATAAATAATAATAATAATAACAACTAATTTAACTGAACACTCCTCTACACCATATTAACTACTTTCAATGATCTCATTTGATCTGTGCATACCTTTAAGGCAGCACAGTTTTTTAAGACTATTTTTAAATGAAGTACCTTTTTTTTTTTTAAAAAGATTTATTTATTTATGCATACAAGAACTGGGGTACAGGCCAGAAGTGCAGGGGGTGAGAGGATTCACCAGAGACAGAGTGGGGAACAGAACAGGCAGACTGACTGAAATACACTGCTGAGGGGAGCAGTGGGCAAGGCAGGAGAGGCCTGCTGCGCCATGTGGGTAGCTCCCTGGCCAGGGATTGAACTTGAACTCGTGCTGCAGCAGCTGAGGATAGCTTCACAGTGCTGTACTTAACCCCTTGCACCACCAGGGAGGCCCTGAAGTACCTTTTTCTTACATCATTGTGGGCAGTACCATTTTTGTCTTCATTTTGCTGTTGAGGAGACAGAAGCACAGACATTAAGCAGCTTACTTTTAGTCACCTGGCTGGTATGTAGAAAAGTCAAAATCACACATGGCACTTTTAATCATAGTACTGTTAGTCCACTAATGTTCCTGTTCATCTATAAACACCTCTCTCCCCCACCCCTAACCCCGTTTCTTTCTCCTTTTCTTCTTTCTCTCAACAGATTTTTATTTACTACTGTTTCTGCACAGGCCTCATTCCTAGCACTGGCAGAGACAGTTCCACTGTATGGCTCTGGTGGAGGGCCTGGCCAGCCTGGCCCCCTGACCCTCTGGCTGGTG